TATGCCCGCATAATATATTTAACCCAGTGTAGTCCCCAAATCATAGGTTACTTACCAGTGAGCTGTGATCAATATCCGCGAAGTGGTATCATTAGTCTGAATTGAGTGTTTACAAGCTCCGCTGCAAAATCTGCGACAAATGCTATGTTGGCGAGAAGGGAAGAATGCTTACAACCGGAGTACCCGAACATAACTAGGCGATCCGCCTAAATGAGCAAAAGTTATTTGGCAGTGTGTGGGGACGCTGAGGATCACCAATTTGACCTGACGAACTTCAGGACAATATGGAGAGTAAGAGGAAATTGCGTGGGTTCACTGAGGACTGAAACAAGACGGAATTCGATCGGTACTCACTTGTGACAGGAAGCGGCATATAAAGCGTAGAAAACTGCGCATTGGGTAGACAGCAATTGCCTTAGCCGTCGAGGCAGATTATTGTGCAGTTTAATCGTGGCTTCTACTTTCTATAAAAATTACACTACTCACAAAAACCACCAATAAAATGGGAAGTGTTCCGTCACCCTTTGAGCCGCCCTGCGACCAGTCTTGCCTATTTAAGTGCCACCGCAACTGCAAGTGAACTGGTAGATGATGTTAGACGCTGAACTGATTGGCGAGCTACTCGGACGGCTGTGGAGAGGTATGCTTCGTGTAGTGTGGATGTCGTAGTTGGGCGGTAGAGCGGACCTGAGCTTGTGAGTAACTTCGTCACGTGATCCCCTTTGAACGGTGAACACATAAACATGCTTCTTCTCCGCTGTTTGTACTGTCAGCTTCTCCTTGGGGGGTCTGCTATGGGTCTGAATGAATTTCTCCGGATACCCATTGGCTAGCAAAGTCCGGTATAAAAACTCTTCTTCAGCCTTGAACAATTCTGGACTGCAAATCCGCCTGGTCCTGTAGTAGAGTTTTTACGAGGCTGCGCTTGTATGCAACTGGGGCGAAGCTCACTTGCAGTTGCTGTGACACTTACATAGGCAACACTGGTCGCCGGCTGGCTCAAAGGGTGACGGAACACTTCCCATTATGGCTAAGGCAGTTGCTGTCTAACCAAGGCGCAGCGGACCAAAGAATGAACCGGAACTCTGCCTCGTCTATCACCAAACACCACAAGACGACTCGTCACCAGGTGGAGCCAATTGATTCATTCAAGGTGCTATTGCGCAACAAGAACCCGACGGTGTTGGCAATTGGCGAGGCGCTACTGATAAGGTCGAATTGTCCCGTGCTCTGGGCCGAGAAACAATTGAGGAAATCAATCATATTGCCTTGGACTTGATTACGTCATTCCCATCAATTGTATCTGCTTATCTATGTTACTAAGTGGACCCTATTTATTGCGTGTTTTGTCCTACCTGTATTGCGTAGCGACTGATGAGAGCAATCGAAATGTTAACATATCGCAACCTATGTCTTCTTATTGCGTTAATGAAATAAAAGAAAGGTCATAGTCCTATCGTGGACTCGGTATCATGCGACGCTTCATTACAGTGACAAGTACTATTTGCATTCCTATGGGACATTGTGAAGGCTGGCTGTTTCGGAACTGTTCGGGTATCTTCGAGGCATGTACCTATTGTATTTTAATTACTATTTGAAAAGTACCGTAGTTAACGTCTTGGCTTCCTTTCTAGGCTGGACCCGGGAGGTTTTACGCGTCATTCCAGCTCCCAAGCGAATTTGTCGCTTACAATAGCATCAGGCCCAAGGAGAGCAATGTCATCCGCGTACTCCAGATTTGTCAGTCGGTCGCTGGCAAAACTTCCACCACAGAATAGTCTGAAAGAACCGAGCCATTCATGATAAGTTGGATCACAAAGTTGAAGAGGGAGATATAGGACAACCTCGGCGAACCCCACTTACCGAAAGGAATTCAGGAGACAGTTTCCAGTAGACCCTTACCCGACCTCGGGGGTCAAGCTAGAGGGAGTTCAGCATGAGAAGGAGTTTAGCTGGGACGCCCTCAGTGGATAGGCAGTGCCACAAGTTGGCGTGGTCAACAGAGTCGAAGGCGTCTTTCAAATCAAAGAAAACCACCATAGTAGGTCGTCTGTATGTGTGCCTCTGCTGTCAAACTTGGCAAGAGTTATATATGTGGTCGATACAAAAACGGCCAGGGTGGAAGCCAGCTTGGTTTTCATTAATTCGACCCTCATGAGGACCAGTAAGTCGTCGAAGAATGAATGTTACCCTGAGAGGTTTGGAGGGAATGGAAATAAGGCTAATGCCTCGATGGTTTTCGTATAAAGTACACTGACTCTTATTGAAGATGGGCACAACAGTTGATGGTCACCAGTCTCGAGGTACTTCAGTATTTCAAATCGTATTAAAAAGAGAAGCAAGTCTAGTTAGGAAGGATTCACCGTCATCGCTCAGCAAAGATGGAGCGAAGGTAGTTGGCTCCAGGAGCCGTGTTTCGTTTCAACACCGCGTGCCCATGTCAACATTCTTACAAAGTGGGAGGTCTGACATCTACTTCCCACGTCGCCTCAGCTGCTTCGGTAAACGGCAAGGTCACAGCATGCCTGTTGAACTGGTCCTCAAATGTTATGCTCAACGGGCTGTTCGACGACGCTGGCAATGGTTCAACAGCCCACCTGCCTCAGCTATTGTCTCACTAACTGATGGCTTTTCAGACCCATGTTCCAGATGAGCTGGAATAACACTCGGCTGTGCCCAACAACATTGCCCACTCATTTCCATCCTCGGGACTCGAGGAACGTGACTCGGAGACGCTATGTCCAGTAGAACAAAGTTGGAGATTTTCCAATCTTAGGATACACTGCACCATAATCTGATCACGCAACAGTGCGGTATAATGATATGATGTGCACAGAGCTTCAAATTTATTCGCCTGATAAATAAGTAATCACCCTGTTCCGTGGGACCCGAGTTAGGCAGTGAGAACAAAACAACGAAATGGACTTCCATTCTACCTTTAACCGACATAACATCAAACATGAAGACGGGGACGATGGACAATAAGAAATATGGTTCCTCAGATCAAGCAACAATCACAAGACCCCAAGGTGTTACGATTGCGCAAAGTGACGGCGCATGCGAAAATGCAGGACTCTGTACATAGGCCTTGGTTATATGGGGATCGCCTCAGTTGGGCGCTCAAAGTCCCAGGAACAGTCGCGTCTAGAGGTGACGTCTTCAATGCGGACATTTTCTCCAATTCAATATAGACTAACTGAAACTGACACCTCCCTCAGAAGTATGTTGTTCATGACCCGGTTCTCACCAAGTGTTATCATCATTCCGATTTGGAGCGTAAGCTCTGATTCACATACGAGGTTATTGCACCCTATGCCGATTATAGTCGACCCTGCTAGAACATGAATTAGAGACCTGAAACCGCTTACGCCTTAGATTTGTTCATGCGGAAAGTATTTGAATGCCTGAGCGTTCCAGTTTTCTGCTTGCAGCGAGAAAATTTCTCCTAATAGATGGGCAGATTCAGAGCGACCGCCACACCTTGCAACTATGAGTGATTAAGAGTCTGAAGATGGCTCAAGAAACATTAGAAAATAGCAAGAGCCAGTGTGCTCAATAATGACCCTGCAAATGGAGAAAACCAATCACTACTCCAACTCATATGAAACACTTGTCCACGATAGGCACCAAGAGACAAAACAATATAAGAGGAATGTGTGTAGTCAAGGTAGTCGAGAGCATGCATAATTGAAGGTCGGGTTGAGCAAACCGATGAGAAAGTTAATCAGGCCACCACCATCAACAAATCAGCTTATCTATCTTGGGACGTCCTCGTCACGGCTCAGAGAATCGGAAAATGTCAATGTCAACCCGCGTTTAAGAAGCCGAGTGAGATGCGTAAACTCGATGATACCATTTCATCGTTAAGTGGAGAATTTCCTTTAAAATGTGCCTTTGGACTGTTGACTGTTAACGGTCATCTACGACTTCAGAGAGCCACAGCATATCTCATGGAAATCACCGAGTTAACTGCCTAGTTGTCCTTACTAACGAATGGACCACAAACCCTGCATCAAACCCGCTTACTGGCGTTAATGAGAGTCTAGTCGGTGAATTCCGGTAGGGGTAGCCTTGACCACATTTTAAATTTAGTCCTGTGAAAGAATTAGTTCATACAAACTGTTAACCTACGATACTCATATTCCTCTAAATTGTGCTGTAAACTCATTGTGCACACTTTGAGAAGCGCGTCGGATAGATACTTTTACTAAAACAATATTACGTGAGCCCCGGAACTTGAGGAAAATCAGCGTCTTAGTCCATTAACATAACCAAGGCTAAACTAGTAAAAATAACCCAGATGCTGGCGAACTAGTGTAGTCTTTTAACAGCAATGGTCTGATTATATCGCCTCCACAATTCTAGCCGGTACTCTAACTCGGCGACGGCGTGAGCCTTGACATTACTCGGGTGGGTGTAAGTGACGCAACAAAAAAGTCGTGACATGGGAGACTGGCCGAACTTCTCTCCAAAACATTTGGTCTGGTCCTTGGGGTCAAAAACAAACCAACTATCCATCTCTTCTGACTATCTCGGTACTGAATGACGTCACGCTTGGGTTCAGTAATGGAGAGAAATGAATAGATGTCAAAGGTCTACAAATTTTGTTCGACCCACTGAGTACATAAGCTCTGTCCACAAGTAGACTCTAACAAGAGGCAGATAGTCTAGCAGACTAGCCGATCGGAGCATATTAACCGGTCTGATCGAAGTATCAGAAACCACTTTACTATACGTGTGCCAGATATTCGGTGGACAGGCAGTTCCAAAGGAACTCCCAAAGGTGTACTTGAGGTAATTCTATTTGGTAATCGGCACACTCATTTAAAGTGACGAGCTCGGACGACAGCACAGCCAGGAAGATGGCAGCTGACGTCATGTTCATCTACCTGTGATTCATCGAATACACGGTAACAAAATGATGTCAGCTGTTGATTGAGACGATATTGAAAGCCAATTGTCCTTTCGATTGCTGGCAAAACTTGGCTATACGATTAAAGGAAAAGTGAAAAGCTTGGAGCAGCAGTAAGCGCTATAAGACAATCGTTACACAGAAAAGAAGTGAGCTGCAGTGGAAGATGAGTAGCACCAATTCGGATCATGATGTGGCACAGTGATTTCCAATGGTGTCTTTCGAACGTGGGAGCGTGAGACTGATTACCAACGGTGCAGATAATTTTGTCAAACGAGTTCCGACGTTTAGAAACGTCACCCAGTAATATAGAAAGTGATAAATAGGCAAGTGTTGCTAGGTCAGGTTGTGCACTTAGTGGGCTGAGTGTTCAATGAGCTCGGCAGTTTGGCTACAAACATTTCGTTACCAGTCGAGGTGACATCGTCAGTGTGCCTTTAGGTAGTGAAGCGGTACGGCACGAAGCGTCAGTGAGTATTTGCTGTTGGCCTGACTGAATCAAAGTGTGACGGATTACGTGTAAAAGCAAATCGGGCGTAAGTCAATCAGCCATGGAAAAAGTACTTGCGATATACTGATGATGGGTCGTCGTTCATCCCAAAGAACGTCGAAACAAAAATCAATAATGTATCCAAAAAGTTCACTAACGGAGCTCGGTCAAGGCTTTTCGGAAAACTCTAACTCGAACGACGTCTGAATGGAAACTGCGCAGGCGTAAATCACAAACCATTATGGTCTCCAATTGAAAAGTATAGGATCAACAAAATAGCAAACCCAATACATATCGCACAACTGTTTCAGATATTTAGCAGAATTTTACAGGGAGTACTTAAAAAACAAGTGTTTTTCAGTGGTCGGGAAATTTACAGATCAGCTTCCAGCCTTTGTTTCTTATTCTCCATGGCTCCATTCGCAAACGTTTCTTCCGCAACATTTCGTGTTGCTGCAAGCCAGAGCTGAAATTCAGCACAATACATGTCCTTGAATGGAGCGACGTTTCGGACCAGCCTCAGTGTCCAAGAGCGCAGTCTCGTAGTCGGTCGTAAACCGCAGTCCTCGTTATCAGCTGTCCTTGAAGGTTCCAATGCTTTGGTGATGCGCTCTTTGACCGTATTCTCGTCCTCCACATTCCTGCGCACGAAGCAGTAGCAGTAAAAGTCTACAGGGACTGTCAATAAAGCATAGTCGCTTTCAACGAGTGATTCATCTACGAAAGCGTCCATAAATTCCGGAGCAGCGGCTGGCAAATTCATGACTACCACAAAGCGATGTGGCTTTTCCTCTTTTGTCAGAGCTTCTCGGTAGTGTGGAAGCAAAACCTATTAAAAGGGAGAAAAAGCCGAATTTATAACACTTAGATAGATCCTATACTCCGTTTTCAGCGGTACATTAAGTGGTTCCCTGCAGTAACAAAGTTTAAATGAAATCACAATCCGCTGGGGAGACGATCGGAAGTTAATGCTCATCCGATCAGATAAAACCATCATTTCAGCAACAGTATCGTAAAAAGGGAAAGCAAAGTAACGCAGTCATTCTATGGAATGTACTGCTAAAATAATGACAAGATAACCGATGAAGGACAATGAAATATTATGACTGGGAGCGAAAAGTAATGCCTCGCGTGCATAATTAACCTGATGATGAAAATGACCACACATTGCGGCTTGGCACGCTTGACTAAAGCGTGACCTCACATGCATCGAGAATCCACAATGTCGCGCACCGTACCAGGAACGGCTCGAGAAACTCGGAGTGTTTACTGGACGTCACCGGTGGCTACGCCATCTCATAGTGGTATACCAGATAAGTAGCGATCCGAATGATATGTGCCGCCACCCTCTAAATCTCAGTCCAAACATGAACCCAAGAGAAACGCTCGTAGAATCAAGTCAACTGTGCAGCTGTGCAGATTTTTGACGAAATTTCTTGTCCCTTCGGATCTACCAACCGTGAAAATGTCCTTTTGAAGCAGGTTTTGTGCCTCCACTTTAGCCATCTGAAAAGTGTCCGGACATTGCACTTAACTCCACACACACGTTGCTACATAAACACAACACTCTGGAGCGCGCTCGCATGATTTGGCTTATTTGGAATTATAATCCGCATTGATGCACAGAAATCGGTGCAGGGGAGTGAACTATCCGCTTGTTCATCACAAGAAGCGTTAGCCTAAATAAGTTGTTACGATGTTTTGACAACCCTGATTCTAGTAAGCCAATATCCTGTAGGCCCCCTGATTCGCGCTTCATTTTGCTCGTATGTATACTCATTGAACTTGCAATACTTGCTACGACCAAGCACATGCCTGTACCAAACTTGGACCTCTAAGTCGTTTACGAAGCACTGCGAACCAGGACCCTGAAACCGCACTGATGAGGTTACCTAGTAAAGGCAACGAAACGTCCGTAGAATAACCACTCGGCTCGGAGAACAACTCAAAATTCACATCCACACCCCGAGCTACGGATAGTTACAAGTACTGTTTCATTACCAGATCAACAATGATTCCTTTGAAATTTCCCCCTTTTAACAATCTAGACATTTCGTAGAGATTTGCACAACTAGCGAGCCAAACCTCAAGCTGAAGGCACAGAAAACTTTGGTATCCCAACCTGCTGGTCAACCGGTAATGGGTGGCCTCTAAGGTGCATAAAAGAGCCACCCATCAGACCGGAAATAAACAAATCGTCCCAGTAGCTCAGATTCCAGTCTCGCAGCAATAGAACCTAAAGAAAGCCTCCGAGTTTGCAGAAAGCAAATGCTGAAGGTCCCTGTTAGGTTTTGGAGTACTGCTGCGTGACTGGATTACGCGCGAACAGTGAGAAGTTATTCGTTGGGAATGATATTCCTAGTATCGTTAAGGAGAGTTGATAAGTCCAACATGCTCAGGGACCTCACACAGATCAGTGAAAGATGCGGGATGGTTCCGAGCGAAATTGGTTGACGTATCGAACCAGTTCCTCAATACTCCGTTAAGTCAGCGGAGTTGACTGAAAGCCCAGCACTACACCGATAGCAAAGAGTTGAGAGATGGAACATGTGATGTTCTTGCAGCCGAAGAAAGGATCTGTACTGTAGTCATGGAGGAAGTAAATGACAGCGAAAATGGGTACCATTCTTGGAGACGGACAAAAGTTCCGGTCAGTCAAAATGCCGGATAACAATATCCTGATGGAACAAATCACTGAAAGTTCAAGCCCTTTTGCTACATTGATATATCGCCGAGTCATAGTATCGGAAACTGAAACCGATGGGGACCAAAACATTAAAAATGAGAGGGGTGCAGAAGCTAGGATTCCATTGCACTTGATTATGTGTATGCATAATTCTCCTCGCTACAAGATCACCTGGTGGTTAGCAGAACTGTTGGAACCCGTTTGTAGCCTACTGGCAATCTATTGATAAAAAGAATTTTTCGAGCTATTTGAGTTGCTTGGGTGATTGACGCTGGATGCCGAGCTGATGTATACACTAGACGTCGACTCATTATTCACCAACGTGCCACTATGTGAGGCAGTTGGCAATTTATGCCGATTCATGAGGAGGCAAATTCTGTCTACTCTCCTTTTGGATTACCTAAGTGGTCTACTCATGTTATGTACGCAGAAAATACGGTTTGAATTTGAAGGGACTGCGTACAAACAAATTGATGGTGTCGCAAGGGGAAGCCCGCTGGAACAAGTTTTGACAGATATTTTTCTGGATCTGAGTGAAAGAAAAATTGCTACCGGCCTCAGCGAAGCGAAGATGCACAAACGCTACGTGGATGATATCTTAGTTTTTACTAGTGGCGGGCAGTTTGTTGCTCTGTTAAATTCCGCACAGCCCAAGCTCTGTGACACACGAGATTGGACAGCAGGGCAGTCTAATGCTTTTAGATGTATTCATTTGGCGGGCGGATGGTACACTTCAGCGCACCGTTTTCTGAAAAGCGACTTGGAGTGAGCAATACATGCATTTCTCTTGCTTAGCTCCAGTTGCGTACAAACGCGGTCTAGTCGAAACCCTCTTTCACTCACATTCGATTAAATGAACACCCGAAAGGCAGCGGGTCTAGCATATGGTCAGTCCACAAACTCATATATATATATATATATATATATATATATATATATATATATATATATATATATATATATATATATATATATATATATGTATATGAGTCTGTGGACTAACCATGTGCTAGACCTGCTGCCTTTCGGGTGTTCATTTAATCGAGTGTGAGTGAAAGAGGGTTTCGACTAGACCGCATTTGTACGCAACTGGAGCTAAGCAAGCGAAATGCATGTATTGCTCACTCCAAGTCGCTTTTCAGAAAACGGTACGCTCAAGTGTGCCACCCGCTCGCCAAATGAATACATCTAGCAACAGTAGACTGCCCTGGTGTTCAATCTCATGTGACAAAGAGCTTGGGCTGTGAGGAATTTAACAGAGCAACAAACTGCCCGCCACTAGTAAAGACTAAGATATCATCCATGTAACGTTTATGCATCTTCGCTGAGGCCGGTAGCAATTTTTCTTTCACTGAGATCCAGAAAAATATCTGTCAAAACTTGTTCCAGCGGGTTTCCCTTTGCGACACCATCAATCTGTTTGTACGCAGTCCCTTCAAATTCAAACCGTATTTTCCGCGTACATAACATGAGCAGACCACTCAGGTAATCCAAAAGGAGATTAGACAGGATTTGGCTCCTCATGAATCGGCATAAATTGCCAACTGCCTCACATAGTGGCACGTTGGTGAATAACGAGTCGACATCTAGTGTATACATCAGGTCGGCATCCAGCGTCAATCACCCAAGCAACTCAAATAGCTCGAAAAATTCTTTTTATCAATAGATTGCCAGTAGGCTACAAACGGGTTCCAACAGTTCTGCTAACCACCAGGTGATCTTGTAGCGAGGAGAATTATGCATACACATAATCAAGTGCAATGGAATCCTAACTTCTGCACCCCTCTCATTTTTAATATTTTGGTCCCCATCGGTTTCAGTTGCCGATACTATGACTCGGCTGTATATCAGTGTAGCAAAAGGGCTTGAACTTTCAGTTATTTGTTCCATCAGGATATTGTTATCCGGCATTTTGACTGACCGGAACTTTTGTCCGTCTCCAAGAATGGTACCCATTTTCGCTGTCATTTACTTCCTCCATGACTACAGTACAGATCCTTTCTTCGGCTGCAAGAACATCACATGTTCCATCTCTCAACTCTTTGCTATCGTTGTAGTGCTGGGCTTTCAGTCAACTCCGCTGACTTAACTGAGTATTGAGGAACTGGTTCGATACGTCAACCAATTTCGCTCGGAATCATCCCGCATCTTTCACTGATCTGTGTGAGGTCACTGAGCATGTTGGACTTATCAACTCTCCTTAACGATACTAGGAATACCATTCCCAACGAATAACTTCTCACTGTTCGCGCGTAATCCAGTCACGCAGCAGTACTCCAAAACCCAACAGGGACCTTTAGCATCTGCTTTCTACAAACTCGGAGGCTTTCTTTAGGTCCTATTACTGCGAGACTGTAATCTAAGCTACTATGACGATTTGTTTATTTCCGGTCTCATGGGTGGCTCTTTTATGCACCTTAGAGGCCACCCATTACCGGTTGACCAGCGGGTTGGGATACCAAAGTTTTCTGTGCCTCCAGCTTGAGGTTTAGCTCGCTAGTTGTGCAAATCTCTACGAAATATCTAGATTGTTAAAAGGCGAAAATTTCAAAGGGGTCATTGTTGATCTGGTAATGAAACAGTACTTGTAACTATCCGTAGCTCGGGGTGTGGATGTGAATTTTGCGTTGTTCTCCGAGCCGAGTGGTTATTTTACTGACGTCTCGTTGCCTTTACTAGGTAACCTCATCAGTGCGGTTTCAGGGTCCTGGTTCGCAGTGCTCCGTAAACAACTTAAAGGTCCAAGTTGATACAGGCATGTGCTTGGTCATAGAAAGTATTGCAAGTTCAATGAGTATACATACGAACAAAATGAAGCGCGAATCAGGAGGCCTACAGGATATTGGCTTACTAGAATCAGGACTGTGAAAACAGCGTAACAACTTATTTAGGCTAACGCTTCTTGTGATGAACAACCGGATAGTTCACTACCCTGCACCGATTTCTGTGCATCAATGCGGATTATAATTCCAAATAAGCCAAATCATGCGAGCGCGCTCCAGAGTGTCGTGTTTATGTAGCAACGTGTGTGGAGTTAAGAGCAGTGTCCGGACACTTTTCAGATGGCAAAAGTGGAGGCACAAAACCTGCGCTTGATTTCCCAAATACAGCGTGCTTGTGTTTGCCTGTGAAAGAGTGTGGGC